CACTCGCAGTGACAGCAGTGATAGGCCTCTATAGATCTGCTTCCCGGGCTGTCAGAGAGCTGCCTCCCCTTTTGATGATGGACAGCAACATCACTACAATCAGCTTAGGATCCTGAAATGATTGCTGTCCTTTCCTGCCCTGTATAATCTAAAAACAATCAAGATCAAAGTATTTCACTGCTGCAGTTCCAAAACAATAGTGACAAGCAATCCAAACAAAGACTTTCTGGTTTGCTCTTATTATTTCCTAACCAAGCATTATACATAAGTGCTTTTTGGTAAAACATCCAGCTTCATTCATTCATTTTGTGATATTTGTAATGTTTGACAGACCACAATTACTATTAGTTGATTAATCAATTAGTTGTCAACTATTAAATTAATCTATTTTGATAATTGATTATTCATTTTATAAGAAAAAAATATTAAAATTCTTCGGTTTCAGCTTCTCAAATTGTATAATATTTGTTGGTTTCTTCCTCCTCTATGACAGTAGACTGAATATCTTTGGGCAGGGCGCAAAACAAGACATCATTTGGGACATAGTGGTCCACATTTTCTGCCATTTTCTGGGCCAAACAACTAATCAGTTAATCGAGAAAATGATCAACAGACCTCTTAGAGTTAGTATTGTGTAGTACTAATTCAAAGCAAAACAAGCAAACTAGCAAAACTAGACAGTCTAAAAGGTGTGGTTAGTCTGAACCAGCATCAAGAACAAGAGGGACATGACTGGATAAAAATAACCTCTGAAGGAGTTCAGTTGTTTTTAATGCCAGAGGTTGTGTGTCATCATCATTACACACTCCTTTTTGCATTGGTTATAATGGTGTTGTATCATGAATCCACCACCTTGCCAACTCTCAAAATATGCATCACCAGGAATGGTGGAAAAATGTTTGCCGTTCATTAGTCTTAAGTTTGGGTTAAAAGCATACATTATTCCCAGAGGTTTCCCTCCTATCCTTTGGCTGTGTGGAGAAACCCCTCAGCCAGTGTTCCGGCTTTGTTTTGGGGCCACTGCCAAGCCACACATTTAGGATTCCCTGTGCGTTTGCCCTCTATCTTTGGCAATGATTCATAGCTCTTAGCTCACAGAGCGCTGTGGTACGACTGAAACGGATTGTTGTGTGCCAGCTCGTATGAAGGGGCAGAGTGTCAGCAAAGTGTGGGAGAAAGTGAGGACAATAGAACCATAGCGAGTGGATTGTCTGTCACTGGCTTGTCCATTGCTTATGTCACTGGTTATGTCATAATCAGACTTTGTTATGGAAACAGGAAAAAAAGCTTAGGCGGTAATAATTAGACAAAAGAAAAACAGGATTAAGAGTCTACAGTGATACTAGCGGCTGTGTGTACTCATGCATAGCAGTGCTTTGAGCCAAATGCTGACGTCAGCATGCTAACATGCTCACAGTGTTAACATACTTATTAGGTATAATGTTTATCATTAAACCATCTTGGTATTACCATGCACAATACAGCTGGGGCTCATGGGGAATTGTTTTTGTTTTGCCCTGCTGGTGATGCTAGAGGAAACGTGAAGGCAGCTCATCCAGTGGGGAACATGAATATCTGTGATGCCAATAGTTGTCGAGACATTTCATTCAAAAACCAAAATATAAAGATCCTCGCCATGTCCCCATAAGGGCAGCTGCAAATGGAAAGCAGCTTCAGAGCTAATGTGTGTTTAGTCGTCCAAAAAATAAGCTACAGCAGAAGCTGAAGCATATGTTGACTCTTTGGATACTGAAAATGTAAAGTCAATAGCAAAAAGCTTACTATAGACCTATAAATAAGATAGGATGCTTTCTGTATCCCATAGGGAAATTCGGTTGTCTTTGCTGCAACACACTTCAGAGACAAGCAGAGCAGCAAATGTTGACAAAGAATAATGCAAAACATTTTTTTACCTCCCCTACAGTACTAAAAAACATTCCCTGTAGCTGCAGGCCTTGATTTTGTGTTATTTCCCCACCTCAGCTATGTGGCTGCTGCTCCAGGCTGAGTCATGGACTGATTGCTAAAGCCGGTTTTGAGAAAGAGTGGAAAGCATCTGTCTCAGCGTGACGGGTCCTTGAGAGCCGAGGCCAGATGAAGTGTGTGTGCCGGCTGAAGCCAAGAGGCTGTTGGAGCGCTGGAGCGTTACATTAGCAGAATGACTGGTGGGGGGATTTAGTGACCTTCTCTTTGTCAGGATGTCCTCCTGTCCTCTGTCTCATATTAGGCACTATTTGTCTCTCAAGAGTCTCCTAAAGCTGCTTCCTTCCTGCTACCTTTCTTCTTCTACCTTCTTGACACCGTTCTGAGAAAACTCATTTACGAATATTGGCAAGAGAAGAGAAAACAAACTTCAATAGTAATAAAGATTGTACGATGATTATTCGAACCACAACAAAATGGAGTACCACCTTCTCTTGAGTACTGGTTGCACAGAATCCTACTTTCTCAGTACAATACAATATCTTATTTCCTAGAATGATCTGAATCTCTACGCCCCCTTTTCTTTTATCACTACTATCTGTAGCTTTCATGATTTGAATCCATGTCCCTATTGGGGCTGTGTATTAGCAAGAAGGTGATTTTAAAATTATTTTTATTTTAAAACTGTCATAATATAAAGAATACAACCCCATATGGATTCAATTTTACTGTGTATGCAATCAGAACAATGGGATCTGCATTTACCACACTCTCTGTAACATACAACATCATAGCACTACTTTTTGTGCAATCTTAGTGTTAGAGTAGAAGAGTTAAATGACTGCAGATAGGTTACACCACAGCTATTTAGAGGTAGGGTGCCACAAATCTTTGCATGTAAACTATTCATTAAGAATCAATAAAAAAAATTTGAGAATTGATACAGTATCATGAAATCCTCAAGTGTATTGATAGTTTGTTACACACCTAGTCCCAATAAGGCACTTATGTTCCTGTTTCAGCTCTGATTGGATCTGGATCCAATCTGGATGATATTGCTGCTTCCCTGGATCCAATAACTGGTCTCAGCGCAGTTAATAAAGGGAGGCAGGAGCAGAAAGGGGGACTAAACATTCTCTTTTATTTTCACCATAGCTTTATTTCACAAATTACCCACAAAATCCAAAGTCATCTACTTGATGCCACGAAGAAGTGTGTCTGAGGCATTTTCCATTGGTGAAGCTATATGGACTCTCACCTGGGGGGCTACATCACCTTCAATTTAGCTTCTTCTAGGCAGAGACAGAGTTTTATTTCTTCATACAATCCTTACATCTGCAGTGTCAGCCTTCAAGTCGCAGCATTTGCTTTCTCATGTGGCCTCTCGTGGCAACATGGTCTGATATGGTGTAGTCTCACAGGTTTCATACCATTAAAATATACAAATAAACAGCAATCAGCACAAGTGGCTGCCTCCTGTAATCTTGAAAGCATTTTTAGGACAACCACGTGTTGGGAGGCAGCTGCTCCGCCCAAAATAATCTCCCCGAAAGCGTAGAGTGTAATTAACAGATGGTCCCACTTGTTCATGAAGTCATGTCGAGGATTTAACTGACAGCGGCATTACAATGGCGAACAGCGAGGTTAGTCCTGGATTTCATTGTGTGCAGGTACAGCGATTGCATAGAGAACAAATAGGTAATGAGTTAGACTGTACAAGGGCTTGTTGACGGACGGGTGGGTGGGGAAGTGAATGTTAATGGGTAGATGCATACAGTTTGCTTTTGTGTGGCTCGGCTTAGCGCATGTTAGCTCTGTTTCCCATGAATCACATGAGCATTTTTGTGTGTAAATATATGACCATTTTGATGCGTAGTGTTACTGTGTGTATTTAGTTACTTTTGGTATTAGGGATATGTGTGGAAGAGTGCCATGTGTGCCATTTTTCAGTCTGATCTCTCTATGAAAAAGTTAGTTTTAATGATATATAGGATTTAAGAGCTTATAATTGTATTGGGGCTAGGTATTGAAATGTGGGATGTAGTGGAGTGGTTGTTGGATATGGAATCGATTTAATCCACAAAGGTACTTACAGTACAGCACTAGTATGATAATGAAAATGTTTGTCTGTGTGTACTCGAGGGCTTATTGTATCCCCTTGAGTCTTTTTCTCGTGTCTAACATAGAATGCTGCATTGCTGCTTTGATTTGTTATTCTGTATTGTGAGAAAAATCGCTTTCTTTTGATCTCTTTTCATATCTGAGTATGCTAACAGCAGGTAGCTGTTAAATCTGAGGGTAATAACCAGGTAGAGCTGACTCAAAGTCACACCTTTCCTGTAGCATCCCACCCTAAATATACAAGGAGTAGTAGGGTCAAATTCCTGTGGATTCATGAGGTAACCTACAACAGATACCCTCACTGTCGTACCCTTGAGTAACTTCCCAGCAGGTCAGTGGAGCGGCTAAGTGACAGCCAGCAAAAACCATCCCTGGATAGATAAAGGTTAAAAACAGTGTCGCGCTCCAGCACTTCTATAGGGAAAACAAGCTGAGGGCAGACAGATAGAGATGGACTAAAGGAATGCATTTATAAGGACTGTTGGGGAAAAGGAACTGACTGATCATCCATCCTCCCCTGCTTGTACTAGAGAAAGGCTGTTTATTAAAGGCCTAGAGCTACAGCACCTTTGTTTGGGTTGAAAAAATGGCAGTGGGCAATGGTGAGCAGGTTTCTCTGCATTAGTATACAATAAGAGAAATGAGAGAAATCCTTTGGTAAACTGCCAATGCAGCCTGGTTGATCTGAAATGTGATAGTTGAGTAGGCATGATGTTCCAAATAAGTCCAATCTTGCAAACTAGCCATCCCACATGAGGTTAAAGGGTACTTTGAAAAATTCAGTGCTATTGCCAAGCCAAAAAATAACTGCTTTCAAAACAACCCCAAGCCTTACAGGACTGAATTTTGAACAGATTGTACATTTTGAATGTACAAATTGCTAAATGAAAGAAACTGTGCACATACGTTTCAGTATTGTCCTGTTGTGGTAACAGATTGTGTCTCCTTCCTAACAGATATGCAGTCGTCAGAGCAGCGCTGACAGGCCTGGCTCTGGATTAACACGACCATGGAGTCCTCCTCAGAGTCCCAGCAGGAGCCTGAGAAAACGTTGGTGAGTCAACACACTTGCATATGTACGTATTTTACCACGTGGCATGCAGATTCTTTCCAAATCAAGAGTCTCTGACCAACTATTCCAAAATAGAATTGGCATATAATTAGGGAAAAAAGGAAAAAGGATAAAAGTTTACTAAAGTCCTTGTAACTATATCTTTAAAGATTCTGACTGATGAACTCAATGTAACATTTATTATTGAGTATTTTGGAATGAAACTCTTTACACAAAATATGCACTGTATTTTGTAGGCTCACTCAAGCAAGTGATCTGAAATCCACCCACCCTTCCTCATTGCCTCTTAGACGCTGATAATTGTCCCTTATAATTGGTGGTATTCACTCAACCTCCATGTATAGTCTTAAGTCGGAAAGGGTTCCTGTTTCCTGCTGGCACCAGTGACGGGATCTCTGCTCCAGGAGTACACTCTCTGAGACTTAATGATTAGCTTAAGGTGCTAATATTGCTAACCTGCCACAGGGTTGTCAGGCTCGCTGTGGCAGACACTGCTCTTTGCTGCCTGTAATTAAACTCTTGTCAGGGCGTGTGTGTGTGTGTGTGCGTGTGTGTGTGTCAGTAGATAGACAAGAAAGCTAAAGTCACTTTGGCTGCAGACAATTAAAGGTCACACAGAGTTGTGTTTTTTCAACGTTCTGAGGAACAGAAATTGTGATGAAACAGGCAAGTCAAACTGAAAAGGACACAATCATCCACAGTTGTTGTTCTTTGTTCTGCACTACAATATACAGTTGTTGCCACTTCCTGTTGCAGGTTGACTGTGCCCTACTAGAGGCAAACCCAGACCTAAATGAGCTAATTTCATTTAAATTCATGGAATGGGGTGAGACAACAGTTTTTATGGCCTTATTCCGATATAACCAATTTTTATCTCCAAATTTGCCAGTTGTTCCACATGAGGTTTTAGAGCAAGACTGCTATATAACTCCAAGTTACTAGTTTTAAGCAATAGAACACATTTAGTCTTATCTGTATTCAGCGCAGCTTTAAAGTTATGCAGAGATGTCTGAAGTCTGTACCAGTAGACAAATTTAGACACAGCTTAAAATGGAGAAGAGCCATATGCAAACAAAATTATATCATCTGCATAAACACTGCTTTTGTAAGATGTGTTTGAGTAGAAATCTAGTTTATGTGGATTGTAAGTATTAATGGACCAAGTACAGAAACTTGTGGTACCCCACCTTTGCCTGTGTTCAGTTAGACACAAGGTCTGAATAAGAGCGTAGAAACCACATCCTCACTTATAATCTCACACAGGAACGACTGCATACTCTACTGCGACCAAGCAAAGATGGGAACCAGTGGCACCTTCAGTCACCACACAAACATTTAAACACCCACGCATAAAATACCACTTCTCTCCTCTCAGCTCCCAGGATTGTGATTCTGCCCTTTCATTTCACCTTTATCATAATCCTCAGTAGCCATTTTTGCAGTGAACAGGAGGGCAATTATAATTGCAGATAACTGGGGTGATAACAGTACTGGCCACCGCTCCCACAGGCCTCCACACACAATGACACACAATAGGAGTGTATGGGAGCAGAGCTAACAGCCCTTCCCTACTTCTTTGAATCTTGCTTAGAGCTGGAGTGAGTTTTAATAGCACTTTTATATCTGTTAGTAGTGCAAGCTAATTTCTCACCCCGCCTTCTCCGGAGCTTATATTAGTGGCTGCATAATTAAACTGCTGATGCGTAAATTGGTTTGAAAGCCACGTTGGTATATTTAGTGTTGTTTTGAATGCTTTCTTTTGGACTGAATTGAATTTGATGAATGCGTACCTCTCTGCGATTCAGCAATACACCGTCTTTGTGGAGGCTCCGGGGCAGTGTGCTATCCTTCCATCACACATTACGAGCGACCGCAGTGCCAGGATGGTGTGAGACTTAGACTGTGGGACGTATTGTGTTGCTGGCATATCCTGTTGTTTGCTGAAAGGGCCCGTTGGTAGAGAGTATGGCTCCCAACATGAGATGAAAGGCTCTGGGAAGCACGCCAGGTGTCTGCCGCTTCTCCCCTCGCTCTGACATCCTCACAGTCAGGAGACGCTTCAGTAAAGGTTTATGGCAGCCAGCCCCCCCTCCTGTTTCAAACATCCACTGCCATTCAGTCTGCTGTCATTTGCATTGTACATACTGTAATGAAAGAGCCGGTGACCTGCTGTTCAGAATAGGCAGCAGTGAAAAGGCACATAGACAGGCATTATGCTCTTGAACAATGGGTTTGAGGTAGCTTAGGGTTTAGAGAAGAGGATCTGTGCCTAGGAGATCACTGACTGAGGAGATTTGAGCAGCCGAAATGAATGAGAAAGAACCTTTATCCATGGTGGCTGTTGAATTGCCCTTTGGCAAGGCATTTCACCCCCATTTGTTCCCGAGGAGCTTTGCAGTTCCAACTGTACAAGATTAGTTGTGCTGGGAAGCTCCCAGTATAAATGCATGGCAGGATATTGCTGGGAAATAGATAAGAGTAATTCTTTATAATAAAGGTTTTTATTAATGTAGTCATTGCAGTCTCTCGGGAACAAGATAGTTACTATTACCAGTTCCCATCTGATGCAACTGCAACACGTGCCATCAATCAGTTTGTATTAAACATAATTAGGCCTGTAATACTCACAGAAGGCTCACTATTGAGTCTTCATATCCCAGTATTTTCTCCAACCCAACTCTTCTTTGAGCACTGATCCAGCCTTTACAATAGTATAGTGCACTCCATCTAAAATATGCTGACATTCTTGCTATTGGAAAGAAGTTTGAAAGTCCCTTATTAATGGGA